AATCGAGCTGATGTTACTGGCGACCCACTGGTTTTCCCAATTTAGAAGATACCAAATACAATGTCCAAATTCGACCATATTGTTCTCATTTCGGAAAAGTACTACATGACATTAAATTCTAAATTATTATTCGGCTTCACACTATGTCGCGAATTAGGTTCAAATGCGGTAGAGATATGGCGTATGCTAACACAGAGAACGGAGTAAGGTAAATGAAGCCATTCAGTCTCTAATCGAATGTTTTCACATTTAGAATACTGTTGACTGCGCTGGTTTCTGTTCTAAATAAGTTTCGCGTAGCATTTTTTTACTTGAATTGTATTTCAGGAGTAAATATTTAAAAAGCGTTGCTGTTTGAATATTTAATAGTTACCAATGTCAGCGATATGTAGCTTTCGAATATTGAAACGCTTTTGTTGTCGTAACACGAAGAACGAAGAACAAAGACCGCATTTAAATCATAATTTATTTATTTGCCGCTTTACAACAAACATTGCCATTTTTACCCACTCGTACGCGTCATTATACACATAAACATTACGGGGCTATTGACAGACAATACTCTCACACAACATTTCTAATTCTGATTGTATATAATCATCCCGTGGTTATCCGCTACTCTTACGGGGCCGACAGTTTATACCCCCCCCCACCCTAATATGACGCCATTTTTTCAACTAGATGTATACAAAGCGAAGATCGAAAATAAAAGATGGTGTACATTACAAGAAATTAATTCCCAACTGTAAATCCATTTTAGTATACATTAAACACTTATTTTGTTTTATTCCCATGTCTTTACAACTCGTGTTCCTGGGGACATATTCGAGTTATCCAATTCTCCTTGATTCAATAACTACATGCTACTGCCACTAATAATACCCTCGCCTTCCTGTAAGTCTATTGGCTTCGGAACATGGACGACCAGATTAAGACTATCTATTTCGGAAGAACGAAGAATATATATTTTATGATTAAACAGTATGAATATTCTGTCTTCGTTCTTTGTTCTGCGTTTTAAACACACCTGGAAAGTGAGCCCTCTTGAGGCAACATTAAGTAATCTAATCTGTTTGGATTTACTACATTACAACACTTCTTGTGTGTATATACGAGGTAAAGTACGAATGTAGGAGTTATTTTTATATAATGCTTTTCAGGAGAAAAGATAAGAACAGATGCTGCTGGAATGGTTGAAGACAGTGCGACCGTTTGCAGTCAAGAAACAAGAGATTTGCCGAGTCATCGTACAGTCACGCGTGTTGAGACTATCGAGGATAAAGGTAGTCAAACTCGAAAGTACAATGAACCTAAAGAACTTACTACTAATGACAAAGGTGAACTAGTAGTGGCAGACTGGAAAAAGGAACGAGTGCAGATATTAGACTGGACAGGACACTGTAGAATATGTTTATCATTCAAGAGCTTTGGAAAGCAAATTAAACCATGTGGCGTGGCTGTGTCACGTGATGGTAAATACTATATCATTGATAGAAGTAATCACCAAATAGTAGTATGTGGAGAAGACAATACAATAATTACCACATTCAGGCACTATTATAAATCAATCCGCTTATCGGCCATTGCATTGACAATGAATGAATACGTATTGGTTACTGATTGGCATAAGCACTGTCTTAGTAAGTACACTGTTGATGGAATTTATGTTGCTGATTTAGGTGAGGAGGGGGAAGGTGCATGTCAGTTTAAACCTCTTAAATCGGTAGTTGTGAACAGTAAGAATCAAATCATTGTGAGTGACGGGTCAAATCACCGTATACAAGTATTTGATTCTCAGTTCAGGTTTCTGTATTCACGTGGTAGTACTAGGGATAATCAGTTATTAGATCCTTGGGGTGTTGACGTAGATAGTCAGGATAATATATATGTATGTGATATGTGTATGCATAGGATAGTAATGTACAGTA